CTTCATTCTTGAGTGATGAGTGAATGCCCATCAGAAATGGTGTGGGAGTTGACAGCACTTCCAAGAGAGGGGATGGGAGGATAGGGATGTAGATGTGACAGTAGACGAAGGGATACATGAGAGCTGTTAGCGCCAGACAGGCATCCGATAGGCGAGAGAAAGAGCGCGAATGGAAGAGAATCTTGTGTTCAGTAGTGGCCGCACAGACCAGATTCACCACTGAATGGATGCCCAACTGCTCGAACAGGTTGTAAACTGTCGTTTCCGTCACAGGAATGGTAGGGCTTAGAGGCGGCTGAAGGAACTGGCGATCGTTAGCACCGATTGAGAATCGTATCTGTGGTCCGCCTGAATGTGGGATCAATTGTTTGGTTGTCATGATTACTGTTACCATTCAACACATGTATGACTACATACCAGGCGGTGGGATATCAACGCACGCGAGGATATTGCTTACTATCACTTCCAACGACACGTCCATATTCTCGATATAAACCGTGTATATGATTGTGAGGCAGTTCTGTGGCGATAATCAGATGATGTATCCATTTATGGCGATTGCATTGCAATGAGAAATGACATACTTTTAAGGCTTCCCTATAGTTGTGCTGCGAGACCAGAACCAGACATTTGGTGGAATACATGATGGAGTGGTGTTGAGCACCGGTAGTGCATAAGGCGGTCGTTGAGCCGTCCATCGATGTGATGGACTCGTCGTCGATGTCATCGTCGTCTTGTTTGGTCGGGTGGACAGCAATGGGTTCAGTGAACGAAAGACTCGCACAATAGTGTCGGTTGGCGTCGATGTCCGTCAAGACAAACATGAAGAACGACGGCTGTTGTCGTTGTGATGATAGACGCCATCGAAGCGGTTGACAGAACTGATGGACACAAAGATGGACACAAACACAGACTCCGTTAGCACTGGTTATGCACTCAACTAATGGTCACTCATGTCAAGAGTGTGTCTTAACGCCACTCCTTATCATCGACACAATGGTGTCTCCATTGGGAGCAAGTGTTTGACAGTAACTATAGATAAGATAATTACCATTTCGATGGAGTCGATGAACGGCGAGTCCTCCCAATCCTTGTGGGGAAACCTCTGAAGTATTTTGCCATTACTTGGACTCTGCTTCTGGTCATCAAAGCCGATGACAACGAAATAGTCGGCCAAACGGCACATCACTTCCAGGGATCTCTTTGACACCAATTGTCACAACAGTTATGACAGCATATACTCCATGGCAGCCATAGTGTGACGTCAGACCAGACTTGTAAACAAAACACCAATCGTTCAGACATTATGTCTCATAAAACACCGACAATTCAGTCACCAATTCATTGACCAATACTTCACTTCCCGTTAAATACATCTTTTCAATGCAAACATACAGTTAGTTATCAGTGATTAGCACTCATTTGTATTCATAATAACCACTCATTTGTATAAATCATAAACTTTTTGATCATATAATTCACAAACTGTTGCCACAAATCACTTCAAAGTGTTTACATAGCATTCAAACCATACTATTAGATGACTATATGTTTATCGTATGATTGGACACATAGTGATGAATGCATTGATGATATGATTTGCGGATCCGTTGCCATTGAATGGATCCGACGGGCGAAGAGGCGTTGAGTGGTGGCCGTCATTAGTGTATCGCTGACTACAGGTCTCTATGGAAACGCACACAACAAGCGGTCAAATGTGTCGCCATTTAATAATACATTGAACTCTCAATGCATTGATTGCATGAAAACACATCCAGTGATCACTTTGTCACTCACTGTCACCACTCATCCATTGATCACACCATTGATCGGTCGCATCGACCAGTGATGGCACTCACGTGTCCAGTGCTCACCACCGCGAGTGTCCAGTCGTGAGGTGAGCCCAGAGTGTTGTGTTGACCGCAATGGACAAAGACTTGAGTCCAATGATGGGCTCGTCTTCGCGACGCGACGCCAAACGCTTGTCGTCGTCGTCGACCTCACTGTCGGCCACCACTTCCACGACCACGTCCGCCACGAAGGCCTCGTCGACCACATCGTCGTCATCGCTGGACGACTCGTCCAACACGTGGGACTGCAGTGTCTGCACGTATCGGAACAGTTACGAGGCCTTCAAGTGTCTCATGTGTGACGTGCGGAAGGGGACGTCCACTCGGAAGCCACGGATCAACCCCGAGATGGTCGCCCAACAGGTGGCCCGACAACAGGAACAGATCAAACAGCAGGCCATCAAAGCCGTCAAAACCAAAGACAAGAGCGACAGACCCGACAAAGCAGACAAACGCCGAGACGACAACTGCCCGCAACTCAATAGTCCCTCTTCTAGTGGTCTCAACACATCCAGCGGTGACAGCAATGGCTTCACTAATAGTAGTAATAATAGTTTTAATTCCAGTAATAATATAAACTCAGAGATTAAGGACATTAAGGACTCGTTGAATAGCAGTACGAATAACACGAACAATAAATTGAGTGCTAATCACAACACCAATACTAATAACAATAGCAAAGGAGTGAACTGTAAGGACACGTCTTGCGGGACACCCACCACCGCCTCGACCCCCACCACTGCCGCCAACACCTCCTCGCCTACCGTTAAGGTGAAGAAACCGCGGACTATAGGCGCGAAAGCGAAGCTCAAGAATGTGGACCGAAGTAATGCACACGTGAAGGAAGTGACGGTCAATAACGTGACGGTTATTATCACGGAATTCACGCCCAAGAAGATGAAAATGTCGTCAAAAGGCGACAAACACTCAAACAGTGAGAGTTGGGATCAAATAAAGTCGAAAAAGAGTGACGAAAAGCGTCGCAAATCGAGTGATGAGAAGAGCAAGAAGAGCGACAAAAGTGAGGAAAAGGTGAGAAAAAGTGACTCAAAAAAGCACTCATGCGATGAGAATTCCAAGAAGTCGTCCGACGATCACCCAAAGAGTGGTAAGAACTCGGATGAGAGTCCGCACAAGAATTCTGGCAAAAAGAGTGACGAAAATCGTGGCAAACATTCGTCAGACGAAAGCGTTTCGCCGAATAAGAAATTAGATAAAAAAAGTGACGAAAAAGTGTCTAAAAGTCCTAAAAAATCTAATGAAAACTCAAAGTCTCACTCATCTCAACATTTCTCATAACATTTTCTTATATTTAAATCAATTATAATTAGATTCTAGTAATGAATTTGGACAATTTGTATCAAAACACATAATCGTAACCAACAATCGATTTTTATAAACATTTAATTATTTATTGTATTATTTTATACACTTATATGTCATTCATTTCGATTGATTTACATCTTATTTATAAATTTATTTTAAAAGAGTTAGAATAGGATTTGAGGCAACGATAGGGCACTCAATAAAATTAATTAATTAAATGTAATTAAAAATAATTATTTACTGTTTTATTTGTCGCCAAAAATATTTGTTTGTGTGAATATTTGTCGAAAAAGTTTCTAAAACAATAAATCATATGATGTGAACCACACAAAGACATACCAGTGCCCAAAACGTGTGGTTAGTTAGGACCGCATGCGTACGGGGCCTCATCCTAACGGTGTCTCCATAGAGTCGACAGAGTTGTGTCCATAACTATTAACTATTCAATTCTGCGAACACTAAGTTGAGACCAAAAAAGTTTTCTGTATTTTTGTTGTACAGTACAGTACAGTACAGTGTATTTATGTTACCGTTTTGCATGACTGCCTGACAGGCCAACAGTCATAGCCTTGTCGTCCCTCTCATTTGACATCCTCTCCCACTCTCTCTTTCATAGTTTTTTGCAAATGTTAATCAAATTATAGCTCGTGTTTGTGTTTTGAGTTTTATGTGTTTTATAGACAATTGTTTCGATGAATTCATGAAATGAAATCCAAGACAAACTTATTTCACAACAAATTTGACGACAAATGATACCAAGAATAAAATAACTAATTTTTCTGTTTTGTATGAATTTTAAGCTATTTTTCAAATGTAAGTCTTAAATATTTATTTTAATTATTGAAATTTATGTATTAATTAAATTAATCACAATATTTATGTTTTCTAACATTAGTTTTGTTTGTATCTGTATATGAAATGTATTACAAATTGATTACATTTAACATCCAAAAGATTCTTATAAATGAATATAAAAAATATATTTTATCTTACATTATATAAAATGACAACAAATACATTTGAGTTTATATTTTAAATGAAATTATGTGAATTGAATTTATTACTAATTTGATTAAATTGCATTTCACTGCCTCTCATCTATTCATAAATTAATTCTGTATTTATTTATTCATCAAATTTTCATTTGATTTAATATTTCATTAATTCAAATATTTATTCAATCAGTGCTTAAGTGGAGGAAAAATATATTTTAAAAGTTTTATTGCTTTGAAGTGTTCTTTAAGGGGCACAAAAACATATGTATTATACAGTATGCACTTAAGGTATTGTACAGTATTATATTTGCAAGTACAGTATAAAATGATTATACAGTATACTGGTATTACATTATCATTAAAATATTAATGGTTAATACAATACGAGATACCACTTTATAATCGCTAGCAATGGAGGCACATATGAATTGACCGACACTTAGCATCACTGCATTCACTTCCTCTCACTGTTCAGTCATTAGACACTAGTTTTGGACACATTTCATACATTAGATCCATAACCAGAATCCAGAGATAGTGTTATGAAGTTTGTATTCATTTATTCTCATTTATATAACTGTAAGATTTGGGCGAAATTTCAACTCATTTCCAGACTATAATTGATTAATTAATTTTGAAATTGTATACTTTTGAGAGAATTACTGTTTTGTCTGTTGGGGCAACCAATTAATATGTATGATAACAGTAACACTATATTCTAAGCGCTGGTAGTTTTGAACCTGATGGGTGTGGTAATGGAATGGCAGCTGAAAAATAAAAATAAAGATCCACTCTTAATACTATGATACTCTAATTTGTGATGACAATATGAGAGCTGAGTTATCCTAAAAAGCCAATAGTTTGCATTTCCACGAATACATGAATACCTTTTAGCAGATGTTTTGCGTAAACTTTGTCTTTTTAGGGAACAAATCACACAATTTGCAAATTTATGACTTAAAAGGAGGTTTTACTTTCTCTATAAATATCATTTAGGATCCAAACGTGTCATTAGACCAGACATAAGAAGATTTGTTATTTACTGTTTATTATGTGATCATATTGAAATAAATAATTCATTTATCACATGAATATGGTTTGCAATATTTGTCATCTCCTTTTTATTCTAATATCAAATGAGTTTACATGTCAGATATTTGAGAAAGCAAATCATAGGCATTCAAAATTATATGAAATAAATTTAAATCTAATTATAAAAATAGAAAAAAAATATTAACAAGTCAAAATTATTATTTACTTTATTTAACATAGTAATTAATAGAACTTGTTATAAATTACAATTATTATAGATTTTTTGAAGATTTTAAGAAATAGTTTTGAATTATTTTGTATTTAACGAATTTTATACTTAACTATACAAATAACCCATTCTATGCCAAACTGGCATTACAAACATATCACACAAACTAGCTACTAAATTAGTAATTTAGTAAATTACTTACCACCATAACATTTATTTACTTATTTATAAAAAATTTTATACCCTGAAGTAGTTTATAGTTTAAAAATAGTCTCAACGAACTAAACATTTCATTGAGAGCTCATCCCTTGAATTCAATAGTATTCGTCGTTTGAACACAATTAGCGGATACATCGCTCCGATGATCACTTTGTAATTAATTTTGCATTTTGTCAATGAATGCCAATGAGTTGAATGAATTCACTGTCACCAAAAGCTTGCGTTCACATTTCTAGATAGATTACATTTAATAATTATTTTAATGCTTATACAAAATTTATATTTTAATCTTATTACAGAACCAATGGTTATAAATGTTATGTGAAAGATTCTGTTTGCGAGACATACCTCTATAATGGCATTAAGTTGTGGAGCAAAGTGTGCGAAATTATTATTAATTGTATTCAATTCAATATTTTGGGTAAATTTACGCTCAATTTTTAAGCAAATACTTAGAAATACTTAATTGAATGTAACTTTTCCAGGCGTCGGGAATCGTATTGTTTGCTTTGGGAATATTCTTCTTAGTAGAAGATGAGAGATCCAGTCTTTTCAAGCTATTCGTTGTGGAGAAGTATAACTACGCTCTCTTGCAAATGCTCGCCTGGGCTTTCATTGTCATCGGATCCGCCATCGGACTCATCGGCTTTTGTGGCTGTTGTGGCGCTTTCAAAGAGAACCGATGGATACTTGTGATTGTAATTTATTCATAATTTGTTGTCAATATAGCATCTCATCCCAAATATCTACATTTCCAAACAGTATTCCCTCTTTCTTTTGGTGATCTTTGCGTTGGAACTGACGGTCGGAATACTGGCCGTAATATTTCAAGAGAAAGTGGTGGCGGAACTCAAAATAGAATTAACCAACAAATTGCAAACCGATTACGGACTCCAATCTTCATTTACAGCAGCTATTGATTTGGCACAGACTAAGGTATTCATTGATTTAGAAACTCATACTTTACTAGACTCTAACATTTTCCCATATGTGTCTGACATCAGTTTGATTGCTGTGGGATTGAAGGCCCGAAAGACTACGAGAAGTCTGTTTGGAGGGCACAGAGAATGAACGGTCAGAACTCGAATGTGAGCCGAACCTGTTGTCTATTGCAGAATAAACTAGAAAAACAGGCCCACAATAATCCCCGACCCGTTAATGAAACACTTTGTCAATCAGCCGATAACGTTGAGAATAGAGTTTTTAGGAATCAGAATGTAAGTGAAAATCATATAATTTTTATATTTGTGAACAATTATTAATTTATAAACTTTTAATTAGGGATGTCTTCAAAAACTTGAGAAGTTTATTAGAGCGGAGTCTATGGTGTTTGTAGTGATGGGTTGTGGACTCTCGGGAGTTGTGGTATGTATTGAATTTAATACTGATATTGAAATATAGTCACTTAAGTAAGTCTTCAAAAACTTGAGAAGTTTATTAGAGCGGAGTCTATGGTGTTTGTAGTGATGGGTTGTGGACTCTCGGGAGTTGTGGTATGTATTGAATTTAATACTGATATTGAAATATAGTCACTTAAGTAATACTTAATGCTAAATATTTATTGTATAGTTGATAGGAATGATTATATCTATTTGTTTGTGTCGAGCCATTCATCCGAGCACTGATGATTAAATAATATTATTTAAAATAATTCTATAATTTATACTCTAAACAACTTTGTCTACTTATAACTATAATAAACGTCTATTAAAAGTCAACCCAATATACAGTAAATTACATTGTATTAATATTATATTGCTTAATGTAATACGACTTCTATTCAAAGCTACGGTATTTACAAAGATTAACAAATATTGTCCTGAGTTTTGTTCCCAAAATTAGTTTTCTTGTTAATTATAGTCATATAATACTAAAAGTACTGTGTATATATAAATACATATCATATAAATGGCACTTAAACTCATTCATTAAAGCGATAATATTTTATTTAAGGTACTAAACAACTCATAAGGAGTGCATAATGTTAAGCATAATTCTATAATACAATATATTGAATTGTTTGCTATAGAATAATAACAACATTGATATACAATGTATACATACAGTATCATTTACTTCTCAGTTTGTGTGAAATACAATTCATTACTCCATAATAATGTATATACAATATTATAGATTGGGTCATGATATTTATGAATTTATTTATTATTATTATTTAATATTAAATAGAAATGTTTTAAAATTATTGAATTTTAGTTATCATTTCTAACATCAAAATCATGCATGTTTTAATTTCCTCATTTTAAAAAGCAGTAATATCACCCTAAATTATTATAATATAAGAATATATAAATAAAATATTATTTAATCAAACTAATAAATTGTAATTGTAAAGTTTTACTCTATTTTAATTTTAACTACTGTAACTCATTAACTCATAATACAGTATATTCTGTATTATGGTTTTATACTACTGTATACATTAAACAGTATCAAATTTTAAAGATAAGTATCTTATTTATGTTAAAGTAGTTATTATACTGTATTAAGGTGCTCTGTCCATATAATAAAAGCAATATTAATTGTGAAAATAAATATTTATAATTTACTAATAATATAATTTTATCAATAAGCAAGTCAATTTATAAAACCTACAAATAAATTTGATTTTAAATGTATAATAAATGAATTCAGATTATTAAAATAAAAATATAAGGTTTTATTCAATTTTAAAAATTTTTTTAAATGGAAATATTAAATCTTATTAAATCTTAAAATTTTGAATGATATTTATATCTAGCTAATCTAAATCAGTTGAGGAACTTTGTTGATTTGATTCATTGATCTCTGGTTTGTCTTTATTCTGTGAATTCTGAACCATTGGTTTTGCAGCTCTTTGTTCAGTCGATTCTTTGGATTCTTGCTGTCCGTCCAGTTTATTCACACCATTGACCACATGTTTGATGAGTTGATTGTTTTTGAAGACTTTGAGATCATTAGATCCGTTCTGATCGACACGACTCTCAATGAGAATGTCTTCGTTACGACTCAAGACATGAATGTTATTATGAATGCCTTCTTTGCAGCTCAGGATGTCGTGAGACCTGTCGGTCGAGCGAGAGATTCACTTTGATGTCATTGTCCAGAATCGGGTGATTTGGCTCTTCGCTTGTCATCTCAACTCAAATTATCTTTTTTATAAATCAATAAAATAATTTTTGAATTAAATCTCGTTTTTATTATAAACATAAATGATTTGCACATAAATTATCAAATAACATAAATTAAGATAATTGTTCAAAAATCAATGAATTTCCATAACGTTAGGTGCCAGGGATTCAGTGTTAAAATAGAATTTAATTGAATCAAATTCTACACTCTATTGTAGAGAGAGAGAGAGAGAGAGAGAGAGAGAGAGAGAGAATGAGAGTAAGAAAGAAAAAGAAAGACTATAAGTAATTGTTTATTAAATCAAAATCAGAGAGAAATTATGAAAATCGGAATCAACATTAATAAACAAGTGATTAAACAAAACGCTATAAATAATAGCGAGTTTCAAATATTTCAACGAGCACCGTGTGCTTTCTGTAAACACATTTAGAAAAATAGTGGATAAAAAATGATAGCAATAAAATTAATTTTATCCAATTATTTGCTATTAGAGTAGAAATTATTGCCACCTTTGGAGAGAACAGTTGTTTGCGCCTATAGTCTGGCCATACAATTATCATTATAAATGAGTGACTCGAGTGGTATAATGGGTGCACTCCTATACCCCGAGTGTCCGATGCATTATCTGTTTTAGAAAGCTTTTTCTAAATGAAGCTTAATGTGAAAATCACGAATTTAGTCCATTTCGNAGCTCAGGATGTCGTGAATACAAACCTGTCGGTCGAGCGGGAGATTCACTTTGATGTCATTGTCCAGAATCGGGTGATTTGGCTCTTCGCTTGTCATCTCAACTCAAATTGTCTTTTCAATGAAAACAACTTTTCTTATAAAATATCAATAATACGTTTAATTTGAGTGAAATTTCGTGTTTATATCGTATTTAATTGAAATGAGTGTAAATTAATTCAAACAATGAGACCATCGGTTGATGGGACGACAGCCCGCGCTATAGTTTAAGGAATAGAATAACAGTTTGAAAGTTTGCATCAATTTTCTAAATTCATAAGAAATTCTGAGACAACAAATGGCGTCAAAACTGTGGAGTAGATTATCTGTAATTTCTTTGGGCACTCGTATTATCGGTGCCAACAAACAGATTGTACAGAAACGTATGGACAACACACGCGTCATATCGAAAGCCACACCACTATTGATGTCCACTCTATTAAGTAAGAGTCGGGGCAGCGATCGACACTTCCGTCTATTAAATCTTATGACTTTGGGTGCTCTGGCTTTTGGCGTATATTTGGATCCATACTTTGGCTTTGAATCGAATTTTCATGAATTCAAAGAAAGCTTTCTCTCGACTTCAGGATCGGCAGAGAAAGCTCCCGGATCTTCACATTTAAGACCAGTTTCCAATCACATCTGTGGCGGTGGTTGTCATCACATCAGAGATAACACACCTCTTCTGATAAGATATTTGTGGAGTAATTGTCTGATCGAAGAGGACGAAGACATTGCACCCATTCCTCAACAAAAGTCTTAATTTAATTCATTTCTTATTAAATTCTTTGTATAAAATTGTTTAAATTTTTGAAATAAATACTAAATTGTGAATAAAAAGTGATTTATTTGACTTGAATTCTAACTCAAATTGATTCATAATTGTCTAATTGTGTAAAACTTTTTGTTTGAAAAACCATTTATGCGATACAATCCTTTCCAAAGTTATTCTACTATTGGGGAACGGATTCAGCATTTGTTTCAACAAAGACTTTAATTCTTGTGAAACGGACGACAAATAAATGACAGACTTTGGCCACATCTTCATAATTGTCAGCTCTTCAATGATTGCCTTTATATCAGTTTCCATTGGATTGAAATTGAAGGGAAAGGCACCTGAATGTGACAATTGGTAGAGAATGACTCCCAAAGAGTAGACGTCGCTTATAATTGAATTGTAACCAATAATAGCCTCTTCGGGAGCCATCAGATGCACGGATCCGACCAGAGATGATGTCATTTGGATTGAGCCGTTGGTGAGCCGTAGGTCTCCGTCGGCTGACTCGAAGTCACATAATTTGAAGCGCTTCTCACCGGACACCAGAATATTCTGAAGTTTGAGGTCTCGATGAGAGTATCCATTGGAGTGCATGTGTTGCAGACCATCACAAACTTGAGAACAGATTTCAAAGATCTTACTCTCATTCAGATCTTTGTCTCTGTATTCGTGGACCAGATATTGTGTCAAATCTCCAGAATCAGCCAATTCTAAGAACAAATACATTTGGTGTCCAATCACTTGATGGCC